AAGCCCATCACAAGCAGCTTTTAAATAATAAGATGTATAGAAGGTGCACCGTGTCATTCACACAAACACTAAACACCATCACGGTAACACACATGAAACTGAAATAATGCAATAAACATTAATTTAACAACATTAGGTGTAACACTCAACCCTAATATACTAAACTGATCAGAAAAAACTAAGAAGAAACCTAGTTATTTCAACAAAAAAACATCAAATTTGAAATGTAACGCAGGGAATTCTGGGAATGTCAATTTACGGTTATTCACTGTAAATTATACGGCCTATTTCACTTCCAAAAATGGTATACTACCGTAAAATTAATGTCCAATACATGTAATGTCCAATACAGTTTTTCACCGTATATAGTAGGGGAATTTACCGTTAACCATTTAACAGGTTTTTACTGTAGCATTTTTACAGTCTTTTACCATTAAATTCACGGTCATTTTTTACAGTGCAGCTATACAGGCGTTAATACTGAATGTTTAACATTATATTCATTGCATACATATACTTTGTAGTAGACATCCTTAACTCCTTTCTGCTGTCTGTTGTTGGTGTTTCTTTGTTTGAATATGGCGCTTATATCACATGCTGTGTGGTATCAGCGTTTGGTATCGGGGCATTTTAACGAGTACAGGAGACCAGTATGGTGCATCCCTAATTATTATTATTATACGAATTCTACTAATAAGAACAATATAAAGCGCATTAGCTGAAATCTAAACAGGGATGATAATAGGTGAGCCCCAGCCAATGAGACTGTCATTTGCACATTAGTTCCGCTCACTACCGGAAAACCCGGCATTTCTTAAAAGCTGAAGAATTCCAAAGGAACTCTTAACAGGAAAATACAACAAAGAATATTGTTTACATGGATCACATCAATTCTGCATGTTATGTAAGACTCTCTCGCTCTCTCTCTCTCTCACTTTGCGCATGTGAGAGAAAGCGTCAGCGAGTCGTGCGCCTTCACACTAGAGTTTCCGTTACGCCAAATACACAAACACAGGTGCCCTGCGCATCCATTGAGATGAAATGATAAATAGCACAGATCGCTTGACGGAGAGTGAAACTCTCAAGCGCTCAGTCAGAGTGTTTGGCGAGTGAAAATATATCTGTGCTAAACTTATACTCAGCCTCCAACTCACACACTGGCAAGTAAAATCTAAGAATTGATTAGCCATTGGCTAATATTATACATCATTTAGTCGCCCAGAGTGAAGATTTAGTCGCATTTTCAGATCCTCAGAGAGTTCTTTGCCATGAGGTGCCATGTTGAACTTCCAGTGACCAGTATGAGAGAGTGAGAGTGATAACACCAAATGTAACACACCTGCTCCCCATTCACACCTGAGACCTTGTAACATTAATGAGTCACATGACACCGGGGAGAGAAAATGGCTAATTGGGCCCAATTTGGACATTTTCACTTAGGGGTGTACTCACTTTTGTGGCCAGCAGTTTAGACATTAATGGCTGTGTGTTGAGTTATTTTGAGGGGACAGCAAATTTACACTGTTATACAAGCTGTACACTCACTAATTTACATTGTAGCAAAGTGTCATTTCGTCAGTGTTGTCACATGAAAAAATATAATAAAATATTTACAAAAATGTGAGGGGTGTACTCACTTCTGTGAGATACTGTAACTACACATTTGCTAAACATTTCCTCCACATAATAATAGTTACTTAAGTCAGAAACAATGGGGAAACCTTTAACCTTTGGTTTTCTCATTGCCATATCAATTTGGCTACAGAGAAAGATTTCACAAAATCTTGTTGAAAACACAGCACTTCAAAATTCACAAGCATTTTAACAACAGACCTTAAATTTACTCACACATCAGAAATCTGCTATTTCAAAAACCCAGAAAAAATGTTTTAACCAACCCACAGCAAATTAGCTTTCCAAGTTGACATACAAATTGACGACATGACTGAACATTTTATAGAGTGTAACAGTCGGGTTCCAGAAATAAAAATCCATTCATTTTAGGGGATTTGATTTTGAACCATAACTTATGAACTGTTAAAGGGGTCATACGATGCTGCTAAAAAGTGTGTTTGGTGTAATGAAATGTGTTTATGCGGTTTAAAGTAAAAAAAAAACACATTATTTTCCACATTATTGTTTCTCCTCTATGCCCCGCCTTTTTGAAACACGTTGATTTTTGCAAAGCTCATCGGTCTGAAAAGCGAGGTGTGCTGTGATTGGCCAGCTATCCAGTGCATTGTGATTGGCCGAATACCTCAAGCGTGTGATGGAAATGTTACACCCCTCACCATACTGTTGATGCCGTGTCCGGCCGGAGCGACGAGACAAAAACATTAAAACCCATTACAAACGAGGCATTTGTTGCATCCAGTGGGGACATAATTATGGATTATAATGACTTTTACTGTCTTTTTCCACATTGCATCGCGCCGCGTAAACATAAAACCATGTCTGCATTTGTGATCAGAGACAAACAACAAGTGCTACTCTACACTGCCCAAAACTCGCGTTTGGTAATGAAGTGATTTAGCTTTGGCTTGTAACATTTTTTAGGCTAGAATAGTTCCTGCATCAAATGAAGACCCGCCTTCTGAAATACGAAATGTGCTGTGATTGGTTAGCTGGGCCATTGTGTGTTGTGATTGGCTCCACTCAGCGCTTGGTCGGAAAATGTCACGCCCCTTACCATAGCCGCCTGCTAGCTTCAGTGTAAATATTGCATCAAAATCAAATTCATTTGAGCACGATTTAAACCCGGATGATTGTAACCACTCTAAGTTCGTCTGCCTTGGGAAAGCTAGCGTGTCTCCGACATATGTGTGTGTCTCGTTGCCTTCTCTAGTGCAGCTCAACCAGGTCTCGTCCCATTCGTCGATATTTGTGATATCACAAATCCCGGAAAATATGTGTTGTAGTCCAAACGAGTCGTTCGTTGTAGTTTTTGAAAAGTGATTTCTGTTAAATAAAATATCTCCTTTTGAAGTGGACTTTGAGCTTTGAAACTTTGCAGATCTTTATGCTCAAACAGCAACATTACAGACTAACTAAAGTTGAAAAAGTAAAAAAGCATAATAGGACCCCTTTAAAACTGTTTTATTACACTGACTACTCTTAATTTACTTATGTTTTTTTATAAACTAACAATAACTGTTAATTTAAAAGTGCATTCAGTAGTTCTTTAAGTGACTAATATCTTCTGCTTCATTTAATGCAGGGTCAATACTGAAATTTGTTACAAAAGAGGATGAAGCATTTTTTTTAATTCAATTTATTATTATTTATTTTGATAATATTGAATATTTTAAAATGTTGTATTTAATATGTGTAATTTTAGTTTTTTTTTTTTTTTTGCTGTAGAGCTAATTGTAATTTGTAAATAATACAATTTAATTACAATTTATTTATTTATTTACTTTTATATTTTATTAAAGTTCTATTTTGACCCCTATGGTAGTTGTTTTTTCCCCATAATATTTGGGGGAGGGGGCACAACAATACAATTCTGCTTAGTGCACCCATTTGGCCAGCAGCTGCCCTGTATATATATATATAGAGAGAGAGAGAGAGAGAGAGAGAGAGAGAGAGAGAGAGAGAGAGTCACTAGTTAATGTCACCTTGGGAACTTTAATCTACTGTTAAACTTAAGCTAGTTGTTATTAAAAGGGACATTAAAATTAGCTTCTTGCACCGTTTTAAGTTCTATAATTGGAAGTTATAGTAAGTCATTACGCAACTTCCTGTGTACCTGTGTCAGGTATGTGAGTTTACCTGCGGTAGCGCGGAATTAAGCTGTCTCTGAAGCACATCTCTCTCGTGAAGCACATCCTGGAGTTTGGTCTGCGACTGGATGAGGGTCTCCTGTGTCTCCCGTAAAGACTCCAGCAGCTTATCTCTCTCATCCAACATATTCACCATCAGCTGTTCAAAATTAGACTCGGCATCCGTGCTGTTCTGAGAGCCTCTCTGGGAACTCACCGAGTCCCCCTCATTTATGGTTGGCATCACTTCACACATCATATTGATCGGTGTTCTATGAAGTCTAAGCCAAATTAGAAATTGCTTTGATATTTTTTTTAATACAGGTTTGAGGCGCACTACTAATACTTAGTGCCATTTAAATGCACATTAAACATGTCCATGTATTTTAAAATGCATATGCATCCTCTAATTCCTCTAACTGCATAGAGAAATCATGAATGAATGAATCCCTGTCTAGATTCATCACACACCTTGACCTCTCTGGTCCACGACTGTCGGCCCTTTCCGCTCTGACATTTTCCACCTAGTTTGACTTGGAACTCAATGCATTTCGCTGGACGCTCATTACGGCGTTCCGATTTCAGCTGATTGAACCTCGGCGCCCTTCGCTTTAACATCCACCAGTTGCCATCAACCTTTCAGGAAACGGTGAAATTCGCGTCTGCCGCATCCTCCAGATCCCTCTGCCACCACCATCATCATCATCTCCGAACCGAGCGAAGCGCTCCTCCCTCTACGAGCTCATTCCCGCTTGCAACACAGCAATTCCGCTATCTCCACAAACATTCGAGCATGTTTTCAAATATGTATGCACCGAGCCTCTGGTGGACGTGAAGGTTAAACGTCTCCCACGTCGTCGGCGAAAATCATTTCCACCCGGCGTGGCTCCGTACAGCTCGTGCAAACAGCGTAAAATCGGGTTTTCTCACATCAGCACCATGCGACTACATGACTGTCATGCACGAGACGCCAATGTGAGAAATTGTGTCACGCGCAGCGCCCTCTGTCGGCAGGCAGGTTCATAGGAATGAATAGGATCTATAATTAAGTTGTATATAAGCGTCTGCTAAATTACTAAATGTAAATGTTTATATATATATATATATATATACACACACAAGGGGTGCACATAAGCTTTTCAGCCTGGTTCTCAAAAGAGCACCTGGAGATTTGGTTTGGTCCTCACACTGCACATAGTGTGACCCATTACATATAACTATAAAGAAATAAAATGAATAAAACAATGCTCAAAAATACAACAACGCTAAATAACATTTAAGAATAATAGAAATATGAGATTTCCTAATAATGAGATTTGGGGACATAGCACACACACACACACACACATATGGAAGTTCCCTGCAGCTATTTTCACGACCGAAAGAAAGAAAGAAAATACAAATAAAACAATATTTTCTCAAATAAAAATAAAATATTGTTTTCTAATATTTCTGATTCCTTTATGTAAAATGAACCGTTTTTATTTTTGATCAAATATGCAACCCATACACTATGAAGAACATTTTAATGTATCTCATGAATCGAGAATACATCATCTAAAAGGACTCCATTCAAGCTCCGCGCTTTTCTCGAGGTTCAATGTTCTTTTTATCGTTTAAATAGATTCTCCTATATATTTATTTGTACAATTCTTGGTACTTTAAGACACTTTAAACAATAAAAACGAAACAGCTGAGATGACGTCGTGGTTTGTCGTTTTAAACGTAACCATTTTTTCTTTGAACCCTAGACTTATGAATATACACCGTCTAATTGGACGAATCTTCTTACATATGATTTCTGCGTCCAATTAGCGTCCAGTCTGGGGAGTCGTTCGCTCTCTGAGATCTCGCGAGAATGTACGAGCGTCAGTTCATGATGGCTGAAGATCCTGGAGGAGCTTTCACTAATTTCACCCTCATTTTTATCGGGTTTTCGTTACCTCTGCTGGGAAGATGGCAGGGCACACAGCCTCGATAAACGGCCAGAGACCCCCGCTATTGTCATGCCCAATAAAGGGAACCGAAAACGGCTGAAATTTAGAGCCGAGGATGTTTGCTCGGAGTCAGGTAATGATAGAGCGAGGCGGGCTGATGTTATGATGCGTGTTGCGTATAATAGTCAAAGTCCATTCTTATGTTAACTTAATTTCTGGTGTTTCTTCATATTTTCTTACAGTAACTGTGGCTGACTATGCCAACGCCGATCCCGCCATCGTGAAGTCGGGAAGGGTTAAAAAGGCTGTTGTTAATGCAATTGAAAAAGAAGGTAAAATCAGAAATATCTATACAAGCCTATTCCCGCCACATTAAAACGAAAAACATGCTTTGGTAAATAATAATAATAATCATGGGTTTTCATGTCATAATTAGTTTTTAGGCCCTGAATTAGACTGCAGATGTGCACTCCTACTCCTGGAGCTCCTCAGTTTATTTCACCCCTTATACTCCTGCCTGTACTTCACAATGACCCCAACACCTTTAATTAGCTTAATTGGCTGATTCAGGTGTGTTTGATTAAAACATAAATCTCCAAAAGCAGGCCTGAACTGCCTTGGGTCAGACTATTAAGAATATGCTCTTGTCCAGTATGTTGGGGATAATTTAGTAGTAAAACATTTGACACTTCAAAATCAAAAAGTACCCTGATCTTAATTCTGCTTCAGTGAAATTACTCTGTGGACTCGAGGCATCCCAGGGTCCCGTGCAGGAAGTGCTCTCCTCTGCAGTTGGCGTGAGTAATGCAGCCCTTGAGAGCAGTGATGAACTGGACTCAGAGGAAGGGGATGAAATCAAAGGGTCCCGCAAAAAGAAAAACAAAAGACGCAAAGGTAACTGCAGAGTGTTTTGTGCAGTGAGTTTTCAAACTGGGGTTCATGAAGGAACTGAAGGAAAATTAAATTGAAATGTAAAATTAAAATAGAAACAAAACACTTACTAAAAAGATTATAGGCCTATATTATTTGTTTACCTGCATGCCATTTGATCATTTACCATCATCAGTGAAGTCTTCAGCTGCCCAGGCAGTATAAAGATGTTCACACTAATCCAGACTCGGACTGTTATCTGCTGCGAGTCACTACCCTCAATTTTATTTTCACTTCTGTTGTGATGGGCATGACGTTAACTTTGGTGAGTGATGTGAATGCGTTTCAAATAGTATTTTTACGTTGTTGAATTACAGGAGGATAACATGCATAATATCATCCCTGGATCTCTAATCATCATGGCATTAAGGCTGGAATACACTACATGACTTTTGCCAACATTTTTGTCCTGATTTTCAGTCTGGAAGAGTTTATGGTAGTTGCCAAGGTGGAGTCTGCAGATTTCTGATAATCTGAGATTTCACAAAAACATCACAGTGTATAATGGGCACAGGCTTACCTTCTCATTTATTTCTAAATCTTCAGTTTTTGATTCGAGTTTTTGAGGATATCAAGTAAGTTTGATACTGAACTGATTTTGCAACATTTTTATTTTTTCATCTCGCAACGAGGAGTGTGAGTTTAGAACAACTTGTCAGAACAACTTTAAAGTCTGAGAGTGTGTGATCCTCAATTGTTTAGTTTGATGCCCAGTTTTTTTCTCTGTAACCATTTACAAAGTCAGCAAATGTATGATGCCTAGTGTTTGAAGTTCTGTTCAGACTTTAAAAGTTGTATAGTGTATTCCAGACTTCAGTAAGTTGCTCCTTTTTGAGCTTGATGGCACTTGAAATTTGTAGTGCTAAATCTGTAGCCTCAGGAACTTCAGCATTGTACTCTTTTTAGAAAGTGGAAGTCAGATCTGATGATGCTTAGCGGTCTAGACCCAGCTGAATTTTCCACATTCCTTTTTGATGAATGTTTACTTATAGTGAAAATGCAAGTCATGCTGATGTCATAAATGACAATGAATCATTCGCTCCTTGTCTTTCAGTTTACCATTAATGTGAGCACAGACATGAGGCACCACCGAGTGCGCCTGGAGTTCCAGGATTCACCAGTCATTCGAGGGAAGAAGCTTAGGGGTGAACAGGGGGTGCAGGTAGTGCTGGACCCTGTCCACAGCGTACGCCTCATGGACTGGTGGCACCCTCAGTACCCCACATCCTCATATAATTAGACTAATGAACTCCAAACTTGTCAATTACAAAAATATTGCAGAAGACAATTCAGGCCTGTTTCGACCAACCCTAAAGTCCTGGCTTGGTAGTCTGGTTTTCTGTTGAATTTTACACTTCGTGTGCTGCTTTTATGGACACTTTAGTTTTGATTTGTAGTCCAAACTCAAGGTCTCAAGACAATGTATGTGGCAGTTTACTTTAATAGTCTGGGTAGCTGCCATATTTAATTTGATTGGTTTCACGATAGAAGTACAGAAGATAAAAGTCGATTCAATATGTCATGCTGCCATTTTTAACCTATGTTTTATTGGAGATGTTTTTTTTCTTCCACTTGATCAAATTCCAAGTACACAACAGTACAACCCTCTGAACAGACTCTGCTTGCCGCCCTCAGTTTTTCAGGCAAAAATCTATTCACATTAAATATGGCATCTACAGGTGCATCTCAATAAATTAGAATGTCGTGGAAAAGTTAATTTATTTCAGTAATTCAACTCAAATTGTGAAACTCGTGTATCTCAACAAATTAGAATACTTATATGGTAATGGTATGCTTTTCTTGCCCATCGAGAGTGGTTTAGAAAATGCATCATCAGGTTATAACACTTGTATAGTAGGGTTTGCATGCCTCTAATCTTGAATCATACATGATTTAATAATTAGTTGTTTTTGTTTTTTCTCCAGTAGCATTCTCGAGATTAACCTTAATTCTTTAGATTTCTCATTCTGTCTCTGCAAATTTATAAATCGGTAAACTAAATGAGCATTCAATCTATAAAAAAAATTAAATAAAATTCCAGTATTAAAAAACAAAAGACATATTACGGCAAGTCAACTCTGGAGAGGTATAGTGTAACCCATTTTGAAAACCATTTAGCCTGGTGTTAGATTTGGGGGCAAAAAGCTAAGATTTTATGTATTCAGTGCTTTCTGTGGGGATATTCTGAGTTCGACTTTACTACTGTGCATGCTTGCCTAGTTAAATCGTGTCTAATTGACTGCATTGGCGAGGGAGTTTATACGTGTTGTAGATAAGTGCCTTTAGTTAAGTGAATGTTATTGTTTGTGATCAAGAGGAGTTATTAAATCTGTAGATAAAACCAAAGTTAAAATGTATTTCCTTATTACTATCAAATCCAGAAGTTGTGTTTTGTGTGTGAAGTAAATTTAGTTTCTTTCTAATTTAGAGCTTGTTTTGTTTTAGACTGGAAAAAGAAGGCACTGATGTTTCAAACTATTAAATAAGACACGCCATAATAAGTGTGTTTTGTGTTTCTGTCCTGCATGGGAAAGAATGGGATCAATACTGACACCCTGTGGGCCAATCTGAAACAACTTCTGAACCCAACCACTAAAGCACTGCACATGCAGATTTTTTTAGGTTTCATTTCATGTAGCTTGTCTTTCATTGTAATGCCACTGGATTTATCATTGGGTTACCCACACATATGATTATACTTACTGGAATGCATATGGACATAAAACAAATGACCAATCAGAAAGACGTGTTCAAGAGATCCGTGTGATTGAGATAATATACAGTCAACTGCTCAGCTTGTGCTTTCCACCCTGTGAAGATATATTTTGCAATATCAACTGACTGACTGTACATTATCCCTTAATTTGGGAAATATAATATCTGTACGATTATAATACAAACATTTTATCTTAATCTAGTTAAACTTATGATATTGTAAGTAATTTAAATGTATTTATTTAATTGTAATTGTTAGTTATGGTAGCCCGATGAACTTTAAGTAGGAAAAAGATGAAATTTGGCACATAACATTGTCCAATTGCTAAGCACCGACGAGTTTGTAGTAAAAGTAAAAAATAATTCAGGCACAATTTTGTTTATATATGTTAGTGAATTACTATACAAGTGTTTACTTTTTTGACAAAGTCGAACTATAATATAAAAAAAGTATAATTTTTACTAGAATTGTTTTTTAAGTAGTAATATTCCAACTAGAATTTTCTTTTTTTTAAATTATTGATTAAAGGGGTGGTTGATTGCGATTTCACTTTTTTAAGGTTGGTTAGTGTGTAATGTTGCTGTTTGAGCATAAACAATATCTGCAAAGTTACGAAGCTGAAAGTTCAATGCAAACGGAGATATCATCTTTTAAAATTCTGTCAGTTTAATGCCTACAAAAACGGCTGGTAGGGACTACAACGAGCTACTTCGTAACAAACCCAGATAAACCCTGCCCTCGGGAAAAGGCAGCAAAGGGGGAGAGGCCATGCGCTGCTTTAGAGAAGAGGAAGAGAAAACTAGAGGTGCACGTAAAAATCTATTCACTAACGATTCTAATGGATTCACAAGTTTCAAAATCAATGTTCTAAAGCAGCGGTTCGTAATACTGTTCCTTGCATCTCCCTGCTCCACACACGCTCTGCATCTCTCTCTCTCTAATTCAGCTCAGCTCCAACAATGAACTGTTACAATTATACACTTATTTTCACATAGCTATGAGAAGCGTTAAACATGGACGTGCGTGCAGTTGCCATAATGTATTATATTATTATATTAAGCTTTAATCAGGATAAAACCGTATATTAAAAGCTAACAGAAGCAGTAGCATTTACAAATACCAGCGTATCTAAAAGTATGAGACAACAACAAACAAAAAACATAGGCCTACCATTAAAAGCTGTGTTTGCACAGGTTCTGCACGATCCTCTTCAATAATACCCTCTGCTTCTCAATTGGGCGCAAACTGCGATATTAAGGACGCCATTGTTTACAATACTACCGGAGCACATGCTGAGGAGGTGAGGGGCGGGACGTTTAGACTCACACTAGAGGCGGTTTAGCCAATCACAGCACACTAGGCTAGCTAACCAATCAGAGCCCATCGCCTATTTCTGAGGGAGGGGCTTCATAAAAGAAGGAAATAGAGAAGGGACAGCTGTAGAGCTGTGTGGAATAAAGGTAAATTATGTGAAAAATAATGCGTTTTTCAAAAAACGAAGCATTAACATATGTTAGACTGCACTCCATAAACACAATAAAGCCTAGAAAAAAAAACAGTGAACCACCCCTTTAACGTTTACATTAAGCTGAACTACATTTCCCACAATGCTCTGTGAGCGCTGCGATTGGTGGCTGCAGCTGTCACAAGAGCCTACAGGTGACTGGTGTACAGCGCTGTCACATCACACAGCGCAGTCAGAAAACGATTCGCACATCACACAGGGGAGTGAGTTCTGCTGAAATTATCGAGAAGTTGTTAACGGTGCTCTTTTGCAGTTTCGCTTCCATACGAATGCAGAGGGAACTGATACCAGGTTGTGTTTAAGACAGCACAATTATCGCTCCTTTCCAAAAACTACGTCCCAACTTTGTACTTTCTGACCTTCAGCGGGTAAGTGATACAGCCCATTGCGCTCCGCTCTTGTGTCTAAATAAGTCTGCCTCTGCTTGAGCTGCATTCATTTCCAGCTTATTCCATAGCGACAGTATTTACATACATAGTTTACATGTTAACAAAAAAACAGAACCCCAGTTGGTGCGTATGCTTTTCCTTTTTTGAAAGTCATTGAATTTGGTTGGAGGGATAAGTGACTCAACCTGTAAAATGATCAACTCAGTTATGCTTTAAATGACAATGTAGTCTTTGCTTCCGGACGTCTTTGAGATTAAATATTATTATATAAATTAATATAATATTGAATTAAAATGCTGTTCACGAAGTCAGGTTATAAATATTTTGACGTAAACGTTTGGTTATTTCAAAGTTGTGCTTTTATTGTTGGCGCACAGCCATATATACTGCTGTTTGACTGATACCTGATATGCATAAACTCTGTATAAACAACGTTGGCGATATGTCTTATGTAATGCGAACAGCGCAACGCAAGCCTTCGCATATGTGTCCCCTATTAAAGTGTAAGCTATTTACACTGTACAAATATAGCGCGCAAGTTATTTATATGAAGCATAAGTAAGGCCTTCAAGTACACTTCCTAGTCTAACTGAGACCTTGACAACTTCAGTATAGTTATGTATACAGTTCTGTATTAAAGAGCACATCAAACCATATTTTCCGAATAACCTCCATAGTGTCATTAAGCTTATGAATGCAAGTATATATATATGTGTGTGTGTGTGTGTGTGTGTGTGTGTGTGCGTGCGCGCGTTTTTGTGACACTTGAGGACACAAATTTGTATAATGACATGGGTATGACATAGGTATTACAAGGAGATGGTGACTTATGAGGACATTATCCCATGTACCCATTTTTCAAAACGCTTATAAACCATACAGAGTGAGTTTTTTTTTTTTAAATGCACAAAGTTTCCTGTAAGGGTAGGTTTAGGTGTAGGGCAATAGCACATATAGTTTGTACATTATAAAAACCATTACGCCTATGGAAAAATTCACAAAAACAAACGTGTGTGTGTGTGTATAGTGCATGTCATTTGTCGGTTTTAATTTCAGTTGATATAATAATTATTTTGTAGTGAACAGTCATTAATTATATAATAATAATAATAATAATACTAATACTCACTATTCTCACTATAATACTGACCACAGTGCAGATGATCTTTTTGAGAGTCTAGCTAGGTGTATTTAAGATAGCATTGGTTTAGTTTATTCAAGTATCAGAAAACCCAGACAATAAAAATTGGTATGTGGTTCCAGTATAATCCTGTATATAATCCTGTAAATCCTGTATTTAGTCGTGTGAAGAAGTGAACAATGTTTGGAGGTTTTCGGCCCAATAAAACTGATAGTATCAATTAAATCTCTTGTTTGATTGTTGTGGCGTGTCTTTTCCCTCTGCCATCCAAGTACACAAACCTCTACTAAAGAAAATGAGAAACGTTTAATTAATGAGGCTGTAAGAAATGGAAATACATTTGTGACCCTGGACCACAAAACCATTCTTAAGTCGCTGCGGTATATTTGTAGCAATAGCCAAAAATACATTGTATGGTTCAAAATTATAGATTTTTCTTTTATGCCCAAAATCATTAGGATATTAAGTAAAGATCATGTTCCATGAATATATTTTGTAAATTTCCTACTGTAAATATATCAAAACTTAATTTTTGATTAGTAATATGCATTGCTAAGAACTTAATTTGGACAACTTTAAAGGCAATTTTCTCAATATTTAGATTTTTTTGCACCCTCAGATTCCAGATTTAAAAACAGATCAAATAGTTGTATCTCGGCCAAATATCGTCCTATCCTAACAAACCATACATCAATGGAAAGCTTATTTATTCTTTCATATGATGTATAAATCTCAATTTCGAAAAATTGACCCTTATGACTGGTTTTGTGGTCCAGGGTCACATTTTGTTAGTCATTCAGCGAATGCAATATTGAAATACATCTTTTCAGAAACCTTACTTTTCTTGGTGCAAGGTTTGCAGTCTGCTCTTCTGGTATTTGCCCTAAGCTCCAAGCACCCATTGAAGCAGGCAGTCTGTGGCGGGTCAGCAACTTATTGACTGGGAACTGCCCAGTTTAGGCAGGTGGTAGCTGACCAGTGGGACTACGATGATCCCTCCTACCGTCAGAGGCAGCCCGCAGTGCCCGAGTTTACGCCAATCACTCTAGGCTTATAACTCATAACTACTACCTCTCGTGCTGGTTCTGTTGCTGTTAGCAGCGGCACTGGAGTGACCTCTCCGGGGTGCAAGCCTGGGCAAGAGTGCAAGAGGATCCTGAAAGAGGATCC